GAGCCCACAAAGTCCCTTCCAACACTGCACAAGTGAGAAGAAGGATGATGTTTGGGACACCCTGACTGTCACCCCAAGGCTCACCCGCCACCACCACTCTTACACATTGCAGAGGACTCTGCTACTCCTCCTGTGTCGGATAACTCTGCCAGAATCCTCCCCATTGATTCCAAAGCCAAGAGGCAGATCCTTTTTTTTTGGTCAAAGGTACGTTTCTTGTCCTACATTATGCTGTCAACTGTTCCAAAGATCGAGCAGCAGCGACAGGGTGTAAAAAAGCCAGCTGAGCGCATGGGCATGCAGAGAGGTGAGATCCACCGGCCATTTGAATGACACTTCAAAGGCCAACACAGAGCCGGGGACTTACCAGGGACGCAGATTCTCCTATGAAATAAAGGTGGTCTGCATGACGGCATCGGATCCTTAAAGGCCAGTGGCTGCTTTGATCACAGAAAAGATACTTTGCCTTAGTTGGTCTCCGAGAACTCCCTTGAGGGCTCCCAAACTCAGTCTCTAGACATTCATTAAATTCTTGCCCTGCAAAAAGGATGCACAGGATTGTCACCCACAGAGGAGGGAGATTTTCTATTAGATAGGAATAATTTCTACAGTATTATTCAATGAAAAGCTTAACAATATAGTAATTACAGGTCATGTAGTGCAATTTAAGTGATCAGAACTGTTTCTTGGGGATACTTACAACCAGGGGTCATTTCGTAGAAAAAGAGGTGCAGGATCTCATTAGCATAACTTATTAGCATAACTTATTTGCATATGCCACACCCCCTGACATCACTGGAAGTGTGTCAGAAGGCAACACCCACCGCTCAGGCTCCACTGGACTCGTTTGGATTGCTAGCTATTGGGGGGGGGGAGAGAAGGTGCAGATCTATCCTCGCAGAGGAGGGAGAGCTTGTACCTGAATAAAATTTGGTCTCAAAGGTGCCACTGGACTGTTTTGGACCGGGGGCCGGGGGGGGCTCTGCAACTTACCTGGCTGCTTCTTACTCTGACTGAGGGCTGCTGGGAGCAGTTCGTTGTCCGTCGTGGGTCTGGATGTAGCGGGGCTGCCTACCCGCACTAGCATCCCACCTTCGTCGCCAATTGTTAAGTCCGGCGCTTAACAATGAGTCGGAGAGTGATTTCAGCAAAGACTCAAGTTTATTCAGCTCTTTCTTCACTTCTTCGACACGGTACAACATCTGATAGCCCGAACAGTTTGCCCATTGAAACTGCCCGGTATTTAAACATTCCCGGCTAACATAGCCACTCCCACTATACACATAACAACCTATCAGGTTGAGCGCATAAGGACCAATCACAAACGTTCCCGCTTGCAGCTTGCTTGAATGTGATTGGGTCGTGAGTCTTGGACTAGGATGCTCTGTCCAAGACGAAGCTTAACATTGCTTCCCTATGTGATGATTCACATAAAACCTCCTGTACTCATGGCAGCTATGAATACATTACAGAAATGACCCCTGCTTACAACAGCCCTGCAAGGTAGACTGGTGTTATTAGCTTCCCAGCTGGAGGGCTGTGACTGTGGTTTGGATCCTACCAGCTTTTCTGCTTGATTTCCTCCGGTTTCCCTCATCCCGGTAGCCACCACCCCTTGTAGCTTCTGCCTGCTCTGGGGGCGTCCTCAGCATTGTCTTTTTCGTGCTCAGAGGGGCCTCTCCCCCCTCTTTCACCAGTGGAAAGCTGGGAGGATAAGGCTCAAGCGAGATGTCAACCAGCGACATTCAGACCCACGGCTCAATGGTCCACTATGCCAGCTCCCACTTCACCATGAAAATAAAATCTGGTTTTCTCTGGCTTCTTTGGTAAATTGAATGATTCTGCAAGGATCTGACACTGGGTATCCCAAGGCCAATCCCTGTGTCGTGCCCATCGTGTGCCAGTGATGGAGACTATATTTTTACTTCCTCACGGGCCCTCTCTGCTGGATGTGTCAAGTTGCATGAAGAGACGGCCGGACAGGTGAAAAACCCGTGCATCCTTGCTTCGTACTAGCGGATAATGTTCCTCCAGTCACAGACAGTTATATGACTTCTTGTTGTGTTTTGTCATTGCTTTCAGGCTGTTCTCTGGGTGGTTTGTTTTTGGGAGGGGATATTTTATTTTATGTCACTGTGTATCATTTCAAGTGTCTCTGTACAGAGAGAGGCATAATGTGAATATTAAACATGACTATATGACTGCACTCTTATGTGGGGATACGCCCCATTGGCCTCAACAGGAGTCTCTTCAGAGTACATCCTGGTGCTTTGATTCCTCTTGCACTCAAACGGCCACTTCCTCAGATTCCCCACCCCCCACCCCAGGCCCAGGGTTGCCTGCAGGACAGTGAGGACCAGAAGCACCAAGCACGGGATTTCCAGCCCCCACCTCTAGCTGAAGCCAGCCTCCTTGCTGCTGCTTTCCGTGTTATAAAGATCAGACACATGGGGTGCGGTCAGATGGGCCGGTTCAGTCTACTTTCGGCCCACCTCAGAAACGGATTTTATACGTGCGATCACACAGTCAACGTCTGCCTCCCATCCCCAGCTGTCGCTTTCCGGCTCAAAACTGCTTTAGCCCGGAGTATTTTGCTACCAGGTCCCCAAGTGGTGCTTTCCTGATTCTCCGGTTCCAGCTGCATTTTCCCCCTGTGTGATCGCTCCTCCGGTGTCGAGCCACTTCCAGTTTAAACCCCCTCCCCTCTCGAAAGCTGCCGGAGGCTTCCACTTTTCGCCTGCCATTTTTAAAAAAGCGTTGGCGGTATGCGCATAGGCGGAGGTCCGCCACCGCGTTATTAAAAACAATGTTTAAACAGTGCCTAGTTTTAGCATTTAGACGAGTTTGGGATCTCATGGAGGCCATTTTTGTGGTAAACGTTTAAAGGGAAGTGTTCTTTTAAAGTTTAAAGGGAAGTGTTACAGCAGTCGGGTTGAAGTGGAAATCGCTGTTCTGCGCACACGCGAAAATTTTAGTTCTACAGATGGCTGCCTGTGTGCATGCCCAAACTGAGAGAGTGAGAGAAACAACAGCGAAGCACGCTCCCGCTTGCAGATGGTGGGGAGCGACGTGGCTGTGCAGCGATCTGGAGCAAGGAGGTGAGTGTGATCACGATTCTCCAGGTTTAAAAAAACCGCATCGGGGCTGGAGCAATTTAAACCGCTCCCAGTTCGCCGTCTGACTGAACCCCATGGTCTGCCTAGTCTGGCATCGTGTCCCACACAGTGGCCAGCCAGTTCCTCTGGAGGGCCAGCAACAGGGCACGGAGGCTGAAGCCTCCCCCTGATGTTGCCTCCTGGCTCTAGGATTCAAGGCTGACTGCCTCTGAATGTGGAGGTTCCCCTCAGTCACCAGGGCTAGTAGCCACTGGCAGAGCTTTCCTCCATGAATCTGTCTAAGATACCAGTGGCCGAGGTCCGTCCAGGCAGGTTCTGCTACAAAGTATCTGGACTCACTGAAGGCCTTGGCCAAGCCCCCAGCCTCTCTGTTCTTCAGCTTCTGTACACCGGGGAGCCAACCTCCAGGTGGGGCCTTGTGATCTCCCAGAATTACACCTAGTCTCCAGATGACAGAGATCAATTCCTCAGGAGAAAACGGCTTCTTTGAAGGGTGGGCTCCGCGGTGTTCTACTGCACTCAGATCCCTCCACCCCTCCCCAAATGACCAGGACATTCCAGCCCAGATCGGGTAACCAGTGTTCCCTCTAAGCTGAGTTCGTGTGAGCTAGCTCACAGTTTTGTAGCCTCCGGCTCACAGGCTTTTGTCTCTGCTCAGGAAGGATGGCTCCAGAGCAAACTAATTGATGCCCTAACCAAATCGCTGGCTCACCACTTTAATGCCGGCAGCTCACAGAGTAGAATTTCTGCTCCCAAGAAGACTCCACAGCTGAGAGGGAGCATTGCTGGTAACCCTGAGCACGAGGTAAGGGGACCCAGCCCGCCCAGCAGGGCTTTTGCCAGGGGGAAGACAACGCGGAGTGCCAAAGGTTTGGCGGGGGGGGGCGGGGGGGGCATCGGGAACGGAATGGCTCAAGCCCCCCTTCCGCGCTGCCCGGGATCACTGTTCCCTCTAAGCCGAGTGAGTGTGAGCTAGCCCACAGTCTTTTAGCCTCGGGCTCACCGATTTTCGTCTGAGCTCGGGAAGGAGGAGGGCTCCGGAGCAAACGCATTCATGCCGCAGCCCAACGGCTCGCGCGCCACTTGAATGATGCCGGCAGTTCACAGAGTAGGGTTCCACAGCCGAGAGGGAGCCTTGCCCGAGATCCCACCGTCCCCTCCCCTGGCTCCAGCCCCCGCCCCGCCCC